ATGCCAGAGACTTGTTGAGACGCAAGAACGCGGCCACCCGAGCACACGATTTGTATCCCACTGAATCGAACCGAAAAGAGCTACGTAAATTACAGCGTGAAGTAAAAACACGCATAGCTGCTATCCGAAACGAACGGTGGGATTTAACACTTCGTAATATAAAGCCATCCCACTTAGCCTTTTGGCGACTTCCCAAGTCACTTAAAGGCGACACGTACTCGACGATGCCACCACTCTCTCGTTCAAATATGACACCAGCCATGTTGGACGAAGAGAAAGCCGATTGCCTAGCTGACAGTCTCGAAGCCCAGTGCTCCCCTAGTAGCCTACCGATCGACCCTGATCACCTCCGAAAGGTGGACAGCGAGGTCGACAGGAGAAAAAGCGAACCCCTATTTGACTCAATTACTCCGGTTACCAGCGATGAAGTCGAGATATTAATTAAAAAATTGCGACCACGTAAAGCTCCCGGTTCGGATAGCATCACTAATAGGGTGGCCAAACTGCTTCCCGTTACTATTATACAACTCCTCGTAGCCATTTTTAATGCGGCGATGACCAAAGGCGTCTTTCCCAGCGAGTGGAAAGACGCCGTAGTCATAGGGTTCCTCAAACCCTCAAAACCGCCTTCTAATCCTACTTCATATCGCCCCATAAGCCTTCTCAAAACGTTTGGGAAGATTTATGAACGACTAGTTTTAGCCCGCCTTCCTTCCTTTCCTTTTTGGATACGAAAGGCATGCCCATTGCCGAGCAGTTTGGATTTCGCGCCAAACACTCATGCACTCATCAAGTGCACCGCATCACGGAACACATACTTGCCAAACGCCAACGCGGCCTTAACACCGGAGCTCTCTTTCTACATGAGTAGTATATACAAGCTATATGAGTACGGAGTGCCCGACCGTCTCTTATGCATAATACGAGACTTCCTTAGTGACCGCACGATCCGCTACCGCGTCGAGGGAGTGTGTTCTCAATCGCACCCCGTTCGAGCCGGGGTGCCTCAAGGGTCGGTGCTAGGGCCGGTCCTATTAACTCTCTACACCAATGATATGCCGCGCGTACATGGTGTAGAACTTGCACTATTTGCCGATGACACCTGTATTTACACGTCTGGTCGTAAGCCCGATGCTATTTGTCGACGCCTTCAGACCGCAGCCAACACCCTTGGTGCCTGGTTTCGGAAATGGAGGATCGAAATTAATCCTACCAAGAGTGCGGCAGTGTACTTCTCCCGCCTCAAAGTGACTCTTCTTCCATCCGTCACACTCATGGACAGCCCAATACCTTGGGAAGACAACGTTAAATACTTGGGTGTCATCCTTGACTCTAAACTTAACTTCTCCGCTCATGTAACCCGGGTTAGAAACCGCGCGGCTTTCATCCTAGGTCGTCTTTACGCGTTATTTAATAAAAAGAGCAAAATGTCCCTTTGGAACAAGGTGACACTCTATAAATCAGTAGTACGTCCCGTCATGACGTATGCTAGTCGGGTATTCGCGCACATAGCTCCGAAACAAATACACCGACTTCAGGTGATTCAGAATAGATTCTTGCGTAGAGCCACGGGAGCCCCGTGGTACATGCGCAACAGTGATCTTCATATAGACTTGGACTTGCCCACCATCGCCCAACACCTGAAGTTAGCGTCACGTCGATATTTTGACTCTGCCGTCGGCCATCCTAATCCACTAGTTGTAAGTGCCGCCACTTACAATCCAATCTCGCTCGGTAAATTCCGTCGGGATCATCGTAGACCTAGAAACGTACTTGACTTTCAAGACGATCCAATGACTATCGCTCAAGTTAAGGTAAAACAACACAGACAGACCACACGCCGCAGTCGCTGTCGGCTGCGGCAATCATTCTCGCGATACGGCCTCATAGCAGGTAGATTTTCTCCTATTAATAATAGAAGCGTTGCTGGAGTTTCTTCCGCCACTTCTTCTCCCAGCGAAAACGCTTTCCGAAGTGGTAGTAATGTAAGATGTATTAATAGCAATCAGATAATAGCAACCGATCAAGCCGAGGTTCGGCCCTCTCGGGCACCCTTGAATCGGAATGCTAATCGCGTAATGAGTGACAGCCCAAGCCGAGGTCCCCTCTTGGGGGCCCTTGAGACCAGTCACTCCATGGAGCGTCCACCTAAGCGATCTAAGAGCTCGGTGACCTCCCAACCCGGTAACTATAATGAAGTAACAGCCCGAGCCGAGGCTCCTGAGGGAGCCCTCGAGTCTTGTTACTCATAAACGAGGTTCAGGCTAAGCGCCATCTGCGCTCGGCCACCTCAAGCCCGGTGAAACTGTAAATGCCTCCTCAAGGCAAACAGTGACTACTCAGTCACAAAAAAAAAAATCTGTGCACGGCGTCTGCTCTGTCGACAACATGGGCAGTTACAGCGGCTCACTGCTTAACAGAATTACACGTGCATATTGAAGGATTACACAATAAGCTAGTGATAAGGTATGGTTATGTTTATAATTCACTTAAAGAAAACAATACATTCAGTCATGTTGTTTCAGTGATTCCGCATCCTATGTATTTGTCTCGAATTACGAATATGGGTTTTGTTGTAAAAAATGATATTGGCCTTATAAAAACAAATCCTATGCCATTAAAGAGGTTTATTAAATTAAGTCCTGTAGATTTTCACACTTTATATGGTCATGAGGCGATATTCGTTTGTTTTGGGG